GCACCCGGGTGGGGAGTATATGGCAGGTGGGATTTCTGCCCGAGCTTGGTGTGGCCCAGAAGACCCTGGAAACTCCTTCCCGCCCACAGAGGCTTTCTGTCAGTAGCTTACACTTCTACAATCCACTTAAGTTGGGATTTGTTCCACGGATCAGCCAGGCCGGAAGTTTTTCCATCTCCAGCTCCCCCAGCTCCCTCTCAGGGAAGACCCTGTCCTTTGACAGAGTTGCTCAGGCCCAAGGTCAAGGTTGTGTTGACCCGAAATTGTGTGTTTAGAGCTCAGAGATACCTTGGGGACTCCTTAATCCATCCCCCTTGTTCTTCAGGGGAGGAAACTGAGGTGCAGAGAAGGGAAGGGCTTTGCCCCAGACCCTCGGCAGAGGCCAGACTCAGACTTGGGGCTTCTGATTCCCCATCTGGTATGTTTCCCACCTCATGGTTCTCTGAGCTGGGGTGAGTCAGTGCCCTGTAAGGCAGGTCTGGCCAGGGGCATAAGAGGGGCTTCCCGCCCTTAAAAACATCCACTGGGACCTGGAAATAGAAAATCAATGCATGTCAGGGCCATTCAAGGCTTCCAGTCTGGCTTCCAGGGTCCACTTCCCTCCGCTAAGGCCTTTACGCTTTCACCGGAGGGCTCAGCTTAACTCTGCCAGCAGGAGCTGGGGGATGTAGCCTTGGGAATCCTACCACGTGACACCATCCTCTGCCCTGGGGAAGAGATAGGCCAGGACACCATCGTCTGTCATTGACAATGGGCCCTCCCAGCTGAGGATAGACACGTCTGTCCTGTCGGGCTGGGGTCAGGGAGCAGTCACACGGGGAAGCGGAGATGATGTTGATCAGAATAATTGGGACTGCCCCACTTTCTCCAGGGCCTTCTTCATAGCAAAAGCAGACATATCAAAGAGTGTCAACCCCATTTCACAGCTGGGGAAACTGAGGCCAAGAGATAGAAGGTGACTCAGAGGGTCGATTCCCTGATGTCATTGAACTGAATTGAAGGCAATGCAGTAAGCTTTGATTGGCTATTCTTTTGTGCCGTGCACTGGCCTTAAAATAAAGGATCCCCCCAGGGCTGTCCTCAGGAAGCTTAGAGAAGACACAGGAAGGCTTCAAGCCAAGACTTCCTGACCCTGGGGTGTGCCAGTAGCAGGGCCGGACCAGACAACCTTGAATTGCTGCGATTTTGGGGTAGAGACCTGGAAGGAGCCTCACTAGTCAACCGTGAGGAGCCTGAGCCCCAGAGAATGGGTGAATGAAAGAAAAAGCAATTATTTAGCTCTTACTGCATGCCAGGCACTGTGCTAGATGCCAGGGACACAAAAGCAAGGCTAGGCCCTGCCCTCAGGGAGCTTGTGCATTACTGTAGGGCCCAGACCCTTTGGCAGTCAGTCTGGGAAAGCCCACGGGCCTTTGGCAAAGTCATGTTTTTAAATGTGCAAAATGAAACACACAGACTTGCAAAAGAAACCAATAATATTGAACTACAGATCTTAAAATATTTTTTTAAAAAACAAGTTCACGTCTTCCGGTTGACAGTCCTCTGTTTTAGTGGTAGAAACAGCACTCCCTGGGCACCCTTGAGTGGGTTGGCAGAATCACAGCGATGGGGATGGGGGCCCCGAGCGAGTAGATGAACACATTCTCCCCAATAGCAATGGCAAGGTGGAGTGATGGAGTGACGGAGTGATGCCCGCGAGGTCAGAGGGTGCCCAAGTATCCAAGGTCAGCATTTGAATCCAGGTCTTCTGAGGCTCAGTGGAGCCCTCCCCCTGCCCCACCCCATCTGACTGGCGTGTGCGGATTCTCTGGCAGAGAGAGAAAGGAGCCGGCCACGCACAAGAGTAACGGTAGTGGTACTTGCCAGCCTGTTTGGGTCACTTAACGGTTCACAAAGCCCTTCACTGGTGCCTCCTTGTTTGACTCTCCCAACATGCCCCAGGAGGGAGATGCTGCGGCTTTGATCAACCCCATGTCGGAGGAAGAGCCTGAGGCTCAGAGACACTAGGTGACTTGCTTAGGGTAACACAGCCAAGAGTTATCCAGAGGAGCATCTGAAGCAGTCTTCTTGCCTTCGAGGCCAGCGCCCCACCCACTGCTGCTTCTCCTGCCTCTGCCTCAGTTTCTTCATGTGCTGAATGAGGAGGTTTGACTGGCTGACTGCCGTCTCCACGTTCTCCTAATGATACAGCTGGCATTTGAACCCAGAACCTCCTACTCCAAATCCTTCCCTGCAAACCTTCTGCCCTGATCTCTGTTAATTTACAGTGGTTTTGCACGATTCTGTTTGTTTGTTTATTTTTAGGTTTAGAAAAAGCAGAAAAAGAATTGGAATAACTTTAAAGAGTTTTGGGTTTTTTTGCTTGTTTTAAAGAAAGACCAGAAACTTTCCCTTGATGGAGGCCTAAGATGCTGGCGCCTCTCCGTCCTCCTCCACCCCCTCCCCTTATAGACACCCGCAGCCTCTTCCAGATGCTGCCAGGGCCTGCTGCTGCTGCCTCAGGCTTGGAGCAGAGATTTTAGGGTTGATCTTTGGGAGGTGGAGAGAGAAGGTTCACGTCTTCTCCTCCCGCTCTTTGTCCAGAAATTCCTAAGGTAACGCAAGGATCCCACCTCCTCCCAGAATATGCACAGTTCTAGAGAGGTCTTCTGGCCCATCTCCATCTCCAGCATCCTGGGCAGGTAGGTAGTTATCCAGCTCTGCTCAGATACTTTCTGTGACAGGAAACTTATCACCACCCAAAGCAAACTGTCCGTTTTGGGAGAGCTCTGATTGTTAGGGCTATCTTCCTTAGACTGCACCCAAAGCATCTTCCTTAGAAACTTCTTCTATACCCACTCACCCCCACCCCCAGCATCAGTTTCCTTATATGCAAAATGAGGATTTGGGACTGCGTGGCCTTGGAGGTCGTTCCAATCTGGATACGCAGTCCTGAGATTTTGTGACTTCCCTGGGCATCAGCGCTGACGTTTTCTCGTCAGGCCAGTCACGCTCACAGTGACGAATAACTGTAGGTCTGCCCTTGGTATCTGTGGCTCTCATCACAAGCTCGCCCAGGGCCTCCTTCCCCTCCAAGGGGCACGGAGCGGTGGAATTCCTTTCTCCCTTTTACTTACTTCTTATTAAACTCTTAACTTCTCTTCCCATGTCTGCAGTGCCAGTCACAGGAGCTGGGGGTGGTCCTGGAGAGGATGAGGCCAGACCCTGTGACTCAGTGCTCCCCCTCGGCTTGACTGAACCCTGCGGGGGTAGGTCGGGGGAGGCCTTCTCCCAGACCTCTTAGGGTTCCAAGTTGCAAATGTTAAAGACTGTAAAAACCCATGACTCTTCTTCTGCAGTTAACAAAGTTGGACTTGGGGTCAGAGTGGACCCAGCAGCTGGGCCGATGAGTCTTAGGCCTGTCCTTTGCCAGCATCAGGGCTGGAAGTGCTAGGAGAAACAGTGCAGCTTCCTGGAATACTCACATGCCAAGCCTGGAGTCCTGGGTTCAAATCGTAGCTCTGCATTACTACCTTGGTGACCCTGGACAAGTCTCCTCCATCTTCGAACCTCAGTTTCTTCTTCTCTGAAATGGGAGTAATAGGCCATGTACAATCTGCCTGACAGGGCTGTTAGGGTGAAAGAGCTGTGTAAACACTAAAGCCCCCAATAATGTGACCTGTTATTTTAGTCTCTGGCCTCTGCCAGGCCCTGTCCCTAAGCCTCCAGGAGTGACATCCCCATCCAGTCCACTAACGTGTCCACAGATGCAGTGCCCCCCAGAGTTAGTTCTTCCCTCCTTCTCCTTTCCCTCTCTCTCTCCCTCCCTCTCCTTTCCCTCTCTCCCTCCTCTCCTTTCCCTCTCTCCCTCCTCTCCTTTCCCTCTCTCCCTCCTCTCCTTTCTCTCTATCCCTCTCCTTTCCCTCTCTCCCTCCTCTCCTTTCCCTCTCTCCCTCCTTCTCCTTTCTCTCATACTCTCCTCACCTCCCATTAGTCCTTCTGTTCCCCCAACATCCAGTGTAAAAAACTACTTCTGTCGTCTCAGCATGTCTCAGCATCACAGATGGCTCCCCTAAT